AGGCCAACCAAGCCTTCCATCCCTCGGGTCGGTTAATTGGTACCAGACTTGTAGGCCACATCGCATTCAAACGCCACTACGAATGTACAAATGGAAGTAGAATGCGTGCCGCATCCCAAAAAGGGATTGATCAACGGCAAATGCTTTATCCTTTATCCTTTATTAATATTTGAATTCATGTTACAGATGGAGGAAACGCTGGCGGGGCTACAAACGTGGCAGAAAAAGAATTTCCATGCCTTTGAAACTACATTTCCTTTCAATTTTTTTCCTCACTATCAATGTCGGGGTAACATTCATCATAAGGAAAAACTGAAACGAAATGTAATATATTAAAGGTGGCCCTGCTTCAAGGCATAACATTTTAAGAGGTAAAGCGGCTGGCTGGTTCACGCTAAAGCTCGAGTGAGGGTTCCAGATTCCAATTTACAACCAGTACCAACCGTCCATTGTTGCAGTTCCAAAAATTCATGACTCTCATTGAGGGGGTCTCGGTAGCATCCCCTCATCACCTCCGCCATCATACTTAGTCAGACTTAGGGGAGTCCCCCAACACGATTCATCCACCTCCCAAAAATGCGATCCCTTTCAACTTTCACCTCCAACCCCTAAAACGAACCTCCCCGTATCCCTCGCAAAAGCACGAGAACTCCTCATTGAGGACTGCGCAGCGGGTGACCTGTTTGTAAATGTTCATGGAATCCCTTCCGAAAGATGAGAATGAGTGTTATCTCACGATCAAATTCGTTGGTTTTAGCCGCCTCGCTGTTCAAAGAAGCGTCCAGTGATCGCGTTCCGCGAAAAGCGCTCCGCTTCTACGGATTCGCAGACACCACCAATACCGCCGGTCTTGAACATCGACCAGAACGCCGTTGATCCGTCGATGGTCAGATCTCGCCGAAATATCGCTCAAACCAAGCCAGGCTTCTACATGACACTCGATGTGGAGACCAGGTACGTCGAAGATATGATAGTGTAGCGCTGGTGTGTACCGTGAACTTATACAGAGATCGAGCTCTACAGTCTTTTCT